ATACATATGTATATTCCAGTTGTGCATATTTACCGTCAGCAATAGCTATGATCATTACACATATATTGTCTATATTCATGATAAATATACATGTGTACCGGACAATGGTAGATGTATAATTCTCTCGAATATGTTATTAGCCTGTGGTTTCGTTTTGATTATTAATACAATTACGCTCTTAAATTTATACGATACTTACCGAGCTTCCGTCTTTCATCATGGACGCAAGTCCGGTTTGGGGTACTCGCATCGCCATGGTTGCTTCGGTTTATGCTAAAGTATAATATACGAACGGATATTCTTTTGCGATCGACGTTAGCACAGTGAAAGGAAGTTTATTTGTCGAAGTGGGAATAGGCGTACGCTTAGACCGTATTATACGTATACCTCATAGAGTTTGTGTGAGTGTATATAGGCGGGAAAGTATCCTCGCAACCTTCGATCGTCTTGATTCCTGAATGTGCCAGATTTGATGACTTGTCATGACAATCACCGATTGGATTGACACACCGCGTGGAATAAACAAATACTTCGTACGCCGACTGCCGCACGGACATACTGCTGCGAAAACCTTTCGACGGAAAACCCTAAACATGAGTACCGTTATTATATTTATAATACTAAACGGGATGTCATATATATTTTTTTGTTACCAATGCCAGCAGATAGAGAGGTGAGTGAATTCCGAATTAGGATGTTCGGCACAAGATTTGAGGCACTTTATATTTATCATTATTTCAATATGGAAATTTTATAATGAGACTCTTGTGAGAGCGTACAGTGTATTATTCTCTGTATTTACACTGTTTCAATATTCATGTGACGCGGAACGATGGGATATGTAAGTCCTAAATTATAATTTATAAAATTAGTAGCCGCCGAAATGAATATTTATTTACTTTGCTTAGCTACATATCAAATAGTGGGGATTGTGAATCAATAACCTTGCTCTCAATGTTGAAGTCACTGAGCATGTTTTTTTATCTAGAGGTACTATAGCGCAAACGACACGACGTAGTTGTCACAATCACCCAGTCACTGCTAAGTAAATTGTTTGCTGAGGCTGACTCGACAAGTATTCTAGTTTTTTATAGTTTTAGAGAACTCGACACTCAATGTGAGTAGCCTCGCGCCATACTTATCCACCGATTTGAATATATACATATACACAACTAAACGTATTATATACACATGTAAATAAATACAGTTATATATATATATATATATATATCAATAAAGTTAGTAGTATATATATATATATAATATATCTATATATATATATGTGTGTGTGTGTGTGTATAGGTAGATATATTTAAAGACTGACTACCTATATATATATTGTATGGTATGCCGTTCTTTCACGTGCAACCGATGTTACAATCAACCTCGCTGCCGCGAGTAGCTCTATGCAGTCAAGCGATGAGAAACTCCTGCGCTTATGTATCGGCACGCACATCGCGATCACGCCAGAGTACCTCGCTTCTGCCTGTATTCAGGAATGTATGCACGCGTATCAACCTTCAATATGTGAGTGTGAACAGAGGCTCTAAGTCTTCCCTCAGACTTAGATCTCAGGCTCACACCATAGGCGATAGATCAAATAGACCAGTATACTGGCACATGCAGAGGGACATACACAAACATACACATACGCATGCACCGACGTTCGTTCGAGCTGAGGGTCATCTGACTGCTAATGGGTCGTGCATATACACACAGCGACAGGCCATAACGCAGAGTGCCAATTTATTACGAACAGACAGGTATGCACAACACACACGCTCAGTTGAGAGTTCTATACGCACGCGCTCATACATCGAAGCGCGCACACTAGCGATTATTCGTGGGAAGCCTCGGCGTACACGCATAAGGAAGAGGAAAACCAGTAAGCACCAGATAGACAAGGATAGACTATCACAAGCGCTTGCTGAGACGTACGCACAGTCGTATGCGAAGGCGAAGATGCACACCTACGCACATTCACAATCTCACGCACGCACATACAGGCATGTGGGTGTGCCTGAGGAGAGAGGTATGCTGAGTGTATGTGTAGCTGGTCTGATACGCGCTAACAAGCGGTATGACGCTGCTGTGAGATACTCGGCACTGTATGGGCAACGTGCTCGGTTATCTACGAGTGTATATAGCCATGCGGCGAATAACGCGCGTGTGCACAATTCCCAACCAATTGCACAAGCACGCGCACACACACATAGCCCCATGCATGATGCACATGTACATGCACACGCGCTTTCGTCGTATGCAGACGAATCTGATCTACAAACACATGCACATGCATACACAAGTGACAATTCCGTAGATACAATACGTGTAGCTGCGGTGGGTACGCAGAGTGGGAGTGAGGGCCAAAATGGTGCTTGGAAGGACTTTCTCAAAGTAGCTGGTGGTACCAGTGCTAGTGCACCAGCTGAGCATTCGACGGAGGTGGCACGAAGGCTTGTGCGAAGTCAGAATGCGAGGAATAGAGACAGTCTGGTGGATGTGCAGGATGCCATGGCTGACAGGGGTGCTGCGTGTGAAGTTACACGCCAGGATGCGAGTGCGAGGAGCATTCAGGAAGCTCAGGCAGAACGTATGGAAGCTCACACGGATGAGATACCTAGTGAAGATCGTCACAGCCACCAACAGCGTGCACAGAAAGTGGTAGGTATGAGGTACTCGCTGAGGAATGAGGATAAGAGAGTCATGCGGGAGTGGGACCAGGTGGTGCGCGTGGCTGAGAATGTTCGGTACTTGGATCGGCGCGGTGTTCTAAACGCAGAGGAGGGCGAGCGGATGTGTGTGCAGTTGGCCAAGTTGCTGGATATATCTAACGTGTGCACAGAAGAAGAGGTCACTGCCGTGTCTATCACCAACACACTACTGAGTGCCTCGAACACGCAGGAGACTGAAATATCGCAGGAGACGATGGCCAGGCTACGTTCCATTGATGTGTTCCAGTTACGCACACTCTCGCTGGCGATGGGCGTGTACATTGAGCATCCGTCGATGAACCCGACCAAAGCGGCACGCAATAGAGATCCGGCTGTGCGACGGAAGGTTGAACGCAACAACGTATACGCTAAACAACGTGTGCTATGTGCCAGGTTAGTGAGCGCGTTACGAGAAAGGGCGCTGATGTTGGCCACTTTGAAGCCAGATGTGTTTGCGCATGCGGCGATGGGGCTGTCGAGAGCTGCCTACGCCAATGAGCGGTACACCGATGCGCTGGTTAAGCTTGCGTTAGTTTGTGTTGACCAGTGGGAGACCGAGCGGGTAGTTGATGCACACGAAAGTGGTGGGGGTGTGCAGGGGTCTTCCGTGTCACACGAAAGTGCTCAAAGTGCATCTATGTTGTACAGAGGTGATGATGGGGTCGATATCGGGAATGCACGAGCGACTGATTCAAGACTACATCGTCGCATAGTAGATAAGAGGAGAGGAGCATTGCAATTTTTTTCTCAAGCGCTGCACAACGAGTATAATCATTTAGTCGACTTGGACGCCGAGGCGGAGGGTCAGTTAGAGAAGGCGATCAGAATTAGGAACAAGAAAATCAGGATTCGGGAAAGCGGAATGGCGCAAACTCAGAGAACAAAGACGGGAGGCACGGCTGGAGAAGAAAGTGGTGCAAGTATACGTGGCGACTCTATCACACCTACTTCGTGGAAGGAGAGTGACCGCGATAAGACGAGCGCAGGCATGGACGCTAACGCTGAGATAGCGATTGACGAGCAGAACATCGCCGCGGCAAGTGATGCGCTGCAAGGTGTGCGTGCGAGGAGGCTGGGCATGCTAAGCGCGCATGCGAAGGTGCTGAATGTGGTGTTGTCAAACATCTGGCTCGTAGACGTGGAGCCAACCAGAATGAGAAGTAAGCGGAATTTAAACATACTCGGACGAATGTCCAAACGGGTGGATATATCGTACTCGCCCGACGAGTTAGAGGCCGATGCGAGTAAGTATGCGCGGGCGTTTGACCAGGGTGAGGCTGTGCGGGGGGTGCGGCGTGGGCAAGACGAGAGTGGTCCGCTGAACGAACAAGTGTACGTGGCAAAAATGGATGTGCCGAGCCTGACGGCGTTGGCGAAAATCTGCACCCAGTGCAAAGAGCTGTACACGCACGCGCTGGGAGAGGTGAACTCGTATGTGGAGGTGGATGGTCGGCTACCGGGCGGCAACTGGCACGCCCGGGCCTACGAGATGAACCGTGCGAGTACTCTGAATGGGAAGGATGGCGGACCTGTGAAGCGGAAGGATAGTGTTCATACGCATAGCAGTAGTAGTGCGAGTCCGAGTCCCGGGGGAGAAGCTGTGGGGATGGAGAAGTATCTGAGTGAGCTGGAGGTGCTCGCCGAGAGGGCAACTAAGGTCGCCAGCGGAGTCGCCGAGAGAAATCTGGATCTTATGATGATGAGGATGTGATAGTAGCGGCAATACAGTCATGCATCCATAAACCTGTTTGGATCCATGCTCGCACAATTGAACTATGGCAACCAGAAATTCGTTGATAGCAATATGGCTGGTGTTTGCTCAGCTCCAAACATCAAACGCAAAGAGTGTATGCGCAGGTGAGGTTAAAAGTAGTATCTATAACCGAGCTCAAATTGTGTAGAACTATAAACAGTTGACAGAAGTGCATGTCAGACTTGGTCACTTGTGGCTGCTTTAACGACATCAATATGGGTCAGAATATCCTATTGACTCGTACACTTCAGTACTTGCCGCCAAAATAAGAACACGCACAACCGAATTTCTTCAACGTGGCAGCCACACTTAAGAAATTGAGTATAGTCGCCCAATTTATATCGAATATCAGCTCGGATTCTACCTTCAAACCTCCATCCTGGTTCAACGAGCCAAACTAAAATAATTAACAATAGCGATATATCTGACAAGGGTTGCCGTGATACAGAATCATGCTTTAGTTACAATGTCATTGTTCATGATGAACGAGCCAAAACAGTATAATCAACAACAGCGATCAATCTGGAAATTGTTGTCGCCAGACAGAACCATGCTTTAACACAAATGTTAGTGTCCTGGAGAAACGAACTAAAGCAAGTAAATCAAAAACAGCGGCCATCAAACAGCGTCATGCTTTAATCCCAAATGTGGATAACCTATCGTGTTTGTCTTTAGTAGTACATCGTTATCTTCCCGTCGATGATATTTAAAGATGACAAAGAACGTGACGGCCAAATGCAAGTCGCATGTATTTTCCCGCTTAACCCTAGTTGCAATACCGCATTGCTTATACGTGAGCTCCACATGCCATTACTAGTTTCTTTACTTGCTTGTGCAGTGTAGACTACTTGTCACAGCAGTGTTTCGATGCTTGATCTGTCTATATTGTTTACTTTACTTTCCGATATCACTGCGGAGATGGCGCCCTCCGGGGCTAGGTACTCGAAGCTGTAGCTGATACAGGTCTCCTCGCCTCGTATTCTTCAATGGCGTGTCGCAGTGAGTGAGCGGTGCTTAGTTGATTTACATTGAGTGGCTGTCCGGTCAGTGGGTCTGTATGATGTTCTCGCACCCATCTATTTGATAAAATAATAAAAATAACAAATGGCTATTTAATAAGTATCTAGAATTGCATACTATGCTAATACCTGCCGCTGTTCCTGCGAGACTTTCTCGTGATCTTAGAAGGTAAAAACAGACACCACCGAGGCACGACAACCCTGTAAATATAACACGGACCCCTCGACTACAACAGAAGATTTGAGCATAAATCGATCTCTGTCCGGGTATGAATTCAGTGTGATTAACAGACTGAAGTAGTATTCTCTGGACCCAGTCTCAACCCAGAACACCTCGTATGTAAAAGAACATACCTTGTTATAGCTTCCCTTTCGTAAGAATGTCCAAAAGGCGTATTGACCGGATCTCTCATCACATTCGTTGTGATTGGACAACAAAAACTTTCGATCTCCTCTGTATAATCGTCGATGCCTTTATCCCTCGCCTATTTATTTGATAAACGCAAACTTATCAGTCAAGGGATACAGCACAGACGATAATGCTTTGCCCAGACATGCGCCTACTACACTACGAGAAATAATGGTGCGAGCCGCACATGTGTAATCCCAAACACTTTGATAATTGAACCCAACAAATTAGTAGAATCGAAACCCAAACTGATATTGTGTGTGTCGACAAAGACGAACTTACCGCTTTCTGTTCGCTGCTCATGCTTTGATCGCTTCCATTACTTGTGTTCGTTTGTGATTTATATCGATTCCATCTTTCGTCCGTTTGCACTCGATGTGCGGACTGCATACGCCGCGTTTCATTCTCCTGATCTGTGATTTAGTGAAAAACAAAAATACTGAGCTCTCGTAGTAGAACTCGTTGCCACCAACGTGATATGGGATCGTAATGACTATACAGCTGTCAACTACATCTCGTAAAATTCGGTAGTGTGCACACATGGATCTGTAAAATCATACGCAAATGCTGGAAATATGAAGTTGAAAGGCAGTGCGGTACCGGTCAATCCAACAATGTTGCCACTGTAAACCACGCCGACTGAGGCAGTGGCGTCTATGGACTGGAATAAGATCGCAAAGTGCAGCACAGCGTTTTGTGAAGATGTTCGATGTACGATGGAGCATTCCTTTCAAACCATGATAATAGCAAGACATAAAAACGCAGTTTAAACAAATACGATCCTCAATAAAAGTTTCTTACAACGACTCCTCATCAGCTGGGACTAATCGCAAACACTCCAATAGTTTGACAGGTATTCTGGATATCGATGTGCTGCCCAGGTGCCCGTTGCATCTTCTGACTGATCATCTACACTACCATTCACTCAAGAGCTCGCAGTCACACTGGTCATTCATAGTAATTCTCTACAGAAAAACGCGAATAGCAATCAACTAGATCATAGCCTGTACTAAAAGGCTATGACTTGAGCACCCATAGAATTCAAAGACGAAAGGGGCCTATTGCAATGATAGACTACTGGGCAACTAGCGAAACGTATGCACATGCATATAAAAAGTATTGAACGAACTTGAGGTTTCCACAGCCGCTGCATATACATATCCACTCAAAACCATGAACAAATCTTGCTTGGCAAATATGCTACCAGTAGATGGTATAAAATGAGCACAACATGAGCACACGATACATCGCCTACCACCCCTATGAAACGCCTCGCGTTATATAATATGCAACCCCTCGCGTTAATATAATTGTTTGAGATGGCATTGCGTTGAAGGTTCCCAACAATAACGATCAGCTCGATATATAATGGGCTCGTCCCGTCACGAACACTGAGATACCGCCAGTAAATCATGATACGTTTGAAGCTACACATTACATCAGTCAGCAGACTAGACAGACGCAAAAACAATAGCCTCTTAAATGACACGTTTAAGCTAACAAATATGCTTGTTTCATACATACCTTCAACGATAGCGAATAAGCAATTCAACAAACGGATACATCGCACTATCAAGAAGTACAGCTTGAATTCCAAATCATACTCAATATCACATAGGCACGGTAAAATCTACATATCCCGGCCATCAGTACATAATACAAACCTTCAGCTACAGCTGAGTAGATCGCACTCCCTGCCAATACAACTGCTGCACCCAGAGCACCCCACAACACACTGGCTGCAGGGCTAGTGCCCTGACGTGCGCTGTCAGTTTTTTGCTTGTATCGATTGTTGTTATTGGTGTTGTTGCCACGTTCAGGCTCCCTGTCGTTTGTTCGCATTCTTTCGTGCTATAAAATAGTTCTTCGAGAAGAAGTCAAGGTTCCTTTGTGATATGTTATGGTTTTTCAATGACAACTTTATATGTTGATCGTTATACCGTGAAACAGGTTCCTTCGGCCAAATTGTGTGGTAGTGTTCTGATGGGTGTATATGAGGTAGTCAGGTGATGTTATCAAAATATACCCAACTGCGCATGATTTCATATACATATGTTAATACAAATGCTCGACTATTAGTACATAACGAGGGGAGTTTACAACTTTACATCCGCGGCTTGGAATTTAGAACTTGACTACGACTCTCTACGAGTCATCAATGAGTCAGCAATATTATTTTTATAGTACCGAACTACAGTTTACTGGAAACTAAGGTAAAAGAAACTCAAGACAGACAAGCCCTCAGGCCTCAGGTTTTAACCCTCAGGCCTCAGGTTTTAGCCCTCAGGGCGAGGGCTATGAGCCTGTAAATAACTGTGTGTGCGCCTGTGAGCTAGCTCACAGCTGACAGCTGACAGCCCTCACTATCTGTCTGCCTCAGCCCTCAGGCCCTCAACCCTCACAGGTTCAGGCTCTACTGACTACTCTCTACAATTTTTTATTATTAAAATATTTAGTAAATAGAGAGAGTGGGAACTGGGAAGTGGAGAACTTCAGAAATCAGAACTCGGAACAAGAACTGGACACTGGAAAGTGGAAATTGGACAGTGGAATCTCAAATGAGTAACAAATCAGTATCCGAATCTCAAATCTCAAATCTGGAACATAGATGATTATTTTTAAGCAAAAAACCAAATTGGCTGTAAAAAGCTGATTTGTGGAAAAACAGATAAAAAAAAGTCAAATCATAGCCTTCTGAAAATAGAACACATAAATCAATAAAAAATAGATCGCATACGACTAATAAAATAACCCAACATTAGAATCTAGCCCTGGTTCGGTTGTGCCCTGGTGCCTGGTGGTCACTGGCCAGTGGTCGGCGACTCGGGCAGTGGTCGGCGACTCGGCTAAATATAGTAAATAATCTCTGGCAGGCTAGTACAGCCTTTGGCCGTGCTTTGGATCATCTCCGGTAAGTATTTAACTATTTATGTATATACTATTTAGTATTTCCATACGAGTCTACAAACGACAAATTTGATTTCCGCTTATCGAGACCATTTATTATTATTAGAAAAGTGGTGTACTCGATGTCATCATGGCAAAGAAGCGCAGGTCCAGCAGGCAGACAGAGGCGGAGTTGTTGCGTAGACGTCTCATCTTCGTTCAACGTTGCTGTGAGAGCGTCGGTGCGCAGATTATCTAGTCAAGTCGGTAGGTCGAGTAGTTCAGGATCAGATCTGTCAATAATAGATACAAAGCCAGATACTTTGTAGCTCCTCGCCCGTTTCTATTGTTTTTCATTTTATGCTCGCCAAGGTTGTTTTGCATCTCATCCGCACTCCAGCAATACCACACTTGCTACTGTTATAGAGCCTTCATTTTTCATTCGAGCATTTTCAGGTCTATAAGCTGGTACCGTCAACCTGGTAAAAATAGCCGCGAAGATCAGCGACCGCAACCATCGTACAAGCACCATACTTGAATATATATTAATATCATGCAGTAGCTACTTTATATTCTAGTACTCGTTTTGGTGCTCTGCGTGTGTGATATTTCTGAATATCCTAAAAACGGGCATAGTATGTCCGTTGATAAAAAATATTCGTTGTCGAGGAAGATAAAAAAGCAACCAATACTACCATTTTCATGAATTCTTAAATGTAAATGCAAAAAGTAGCATTTTCGTAAAGTTTGATACCCTACACGCTCATTTGTAGCCTCATATTACACCCCAAATAGTTACTTTTCACACGATATTCATTATCTACAAGTTTTTATTTAGAATTGACAACATAGTCTGTTCAATTGGTCTTCGGATCTTATAGGCTATGGTTATACGTTTTAGTTCTCTTTTCTTTTTTACTTTCAATTTGAGTTTGGTGGTTTATCGATTTTCACAATTACAATGTATGAAACATGGTAAGATGGAGCCATTAAATATTGATACAGTCCCAGAACTCGTGCAGCCGACTAGTAAGGTTTGTTCTGTACATAGATGGACGAAGTGATGATCGTTTAGCCAAAGTATATATCCGTGCCATGAGTTTTCGCAAATGTCACTATGAAGAAACTATGAGGAAATACTATAAAGAAAATTGATACTCAAACCTGTCTAACTCAAGCCTCAGCGCATCTTCGGGGATGTACCTCACGGCTCACAAGCCTTTGATTTATCATCTGTGCTCTGTGATGAGAACAAATATACAATCTTCAACATGCGGTTGCGTAAATATTTTTAGCTTGCGTGTGACTTTCGTATTTGAATAGGTTTGGCTTCAAAAATTGTCCTACGGGCTTCAACACGTTTGATTCTATTTTTACTATTATATTTACTATTTTACACTAGTGATGTTTTTAATAATAATAAAATGGAATGACGGACAGGAAACCTTGTGATAAAGTGACAGTGACTTTGCAGGTTTGCAGTTTACAGCTAAAATACATACACTTTCAGGGATTTCGCGGTGAAGACGGGCGGGTGAAATGTTTTCATTAGCAGGAGGTTCTATGGACTGGTGAAGACCGCATGTATGACTGCATATTTATTTCCTATTTATTTATTTTTGCTCCCCCCGCCTCCCCCCTTTCCAGTTTCCACTGGCCCAGCGCCCCCCCCCCCCCAGCCCTCCAGCGAGCCCCCCAGCGCCTCAGTGAGTCATCCCTCAGGCTAAGTCAATAACAGTTCCGTAATCTACGCTATTTGCTCCAAAAAATAATATTCCGACAAAAAGATTCTGTTACACCAATCATATCTGTACGATAATGCATTTTGTAATCTAGTTGTCATAGAAAATCTGCATTCTGCGGCCTGTGAGTGAGTGCGAGTGCCAAGAGTGCAGACCTTAGCAGACTGTAGAGTACAGACACTGCACTTGCAGTCTGCAGGGTGCAGACTGCAGACCAGCCAGGCTGCCAGGGCCAGAGTGTCAGTCTGCCAGACTGACAGCAGAGTGCGGACAGTGCGGACAGAGGACTGCGGAGGCCGGAGTACGACTGCGTAGAATTATCACTCATCAGTCATAGAAACCATAGCCTTTATGTAGCAATTTAGCATCCTCTAAAAAAGAACCTGTCTATTTGTACAAAACCTATAAAATTACTTTTATTTTACTATAGTTTATTATAGCCTTACAGGCGTGCCGTCACTGGCTCACTGCTGTGCCTTTACTGTACGTACATATTTATGTAAATATAATCGATATCAGCCTGCGACGCCCGGAGCCCCGGTCCCGGTTGATAAGTCACTTAGTGATACGTACTAAATTATATATTTTAAAAGTATCACTATTATACTCGGATCCTCGGAATGATAAAGATTTTATAAATAAATACTATTATATACATATATACATACATATAACACACTTCAGTCATTCATTAGATCGTCAGAATATAACAATATGCATCTATTCAAAGTACCATCGCTTGGCTCGAAGAATAATCGGTCGAAAGTTTGTAGATGCCACTCAGCAGATATGATTATTGTCAGAGGGACGACAACAAATTTCTCATCGAAGGCGACAGCCGGGCGTACATTAAGCTCACATTCGAGTTCGAGTATGCATAGGTCCCCAGCGACCCATACTGACCTGTACAAATTGGGTGAAGAATGATAGCAGCGCGCTTCAAAAAAAATACACATAATGCACCGATTGGTGTGTGTCTACCTCGTCTAATTGGCTGTTTGCGTGGACAGTTTCAGCTTCAAATCCATTATCCGCTGCCAGCTCCAAATTTCCTTATTATCTGCAATACCGCACTTTTGCAGCGGTGGTGATGAATTTCTCCTCTGGCGAAATATTACATTGTTTCTGATGAGGGGCAGACCATTGACCAAAGGTACACCCTCCGCCAACGGCAGGCCACAAGAGGCGATATCACTATAGTTTAGTTTGAGCGCTTCGAATTTAAAATACTCAAATATATTCAAATACTGTTTTAAAAGAACCCATGCTCTGATTTTTTAGCTATTAAAAATCCTGTGAAGAATATTATCAGCAGACAGCAGTCGTCAGGAGTTGCCAGGTCTCTCTTAGTGTCTTGTCTAGTGTTAAAATAAACGGCAAATGTTTGTTGCCACCCTGAATATTGTAATAAGTTTCAGATAAAAATTCCGGATAGATCAATAATTGTAACTTATGAGTGCCTAAAGCGTATGTAGTACGAAATTCCGCAGTCTACATAGACAGAACTTCAACTATTTCTTTTAATTGATATCCACAAGCCGTGTAGTTACAACGTCAAATAGAGTTTAATTTTGGCATTCAACTAGAGTTTCAGCTACCCTATCAATATTTATCAATCAGATCCCGTCACGATCACTTGTTTAATTCGAATCCAAGAATACGTCGTTGCCATCCATTCATTTGTCACCGGCTATATGCATTAAAATACTGGGAATTGATGTACCCTAGCACGTATGCTCCCGGTGTCTGGGGATGTGCGAGTTAAATAAGTATAGTAAGTATCTTCTTTGTCACAAGGTGTGGTGATAAATGAACCTGATAGGCAACTCCCTGAGCAGTAGAGTCAAATAGTTCTACAGGAGGTACTGGCACCATATGGGCAAGAGATCTAATTCACAAAGAACCGTAAATTTTTGCGTGAGTTACATATCAGTATAATCATGCACAATCATTTACATGCGGTGCAAATGAAAGTATTGACTATACCTTTACTCTCGATTCATCCATAGGCTTGACAGTGGAGTCATCGAAGTCGTGCCACTTCCGATCGAAAACATTCCTACAGAACGCAGTGTCTGTAATCAAGAAATTGAAGCAATTGTAGTCAGATCGTGAATATGACAGCAAAAAGGTTTCATATATGACCAATCACTCTAAGTGTGATAATGAAGTACATAACTGATAATCGAAGAAATATTGGTAGACGGTGTTGTCCACAGACCAAGGTCCTATTGCATTGAAATAAAAATCATAGAGACAAGAAAACGATAAAGATAAATGTCAGATAATGCACAAACGATTCACGAAAGATAAGGCGTCACCAATTTACTTACAATGTCCACTTCCCATTTGGCCCCAATGATTCTGCACAGGAATTTAAAGTTATAGAACACGACAGATTAGAAACGACATCTCCAGTGAGCCAGATTGAAACCCGATTAAAAGATTGAATTTGCCGCGAATAGCAAAGGCGTCAGCGTATCGATCGAACACGTGTCAAGCGGATAAGAAAATTACCACCCAAAAAAACCCCCATGGACGCATTCGCCATTCTTATTGAAATTGCCAGGACTACTTATATCACATATTTCTACATATTAAATAATATAGTTTCCACATACCGCCACCGACAATAAATGATATGAATGGTTCTGAGCATTTTGCCTGTCTGTATTCGGTAAATATGACGACAAGTCCAGATTCCTGGAAATGTGTTGAGTGGGAAAGCGATCCTGCTTGATGAGTACCACATATATACATATAGCGATTTATTGTGCATACATATACACCGATTAGCTTTTGTACGCTTTCGACCAATCGCGAGTGTACATATGGGTGTGTTGTGGGAAGGTTATGGGTGTGTTGTGTGCATGTTATGGGAGAGTTGTGTGAAGGTTATGGGTGTGTTGTGTGCCAAAGCGCGCGAGACACACCACGCATCCATGCCCAACGAGACTGCTTGAAAGTGATATAATTTCAGTTCACAGTTGATGAAACCGAAACCTGAAGATTGAAATGAGCCAGGTACGTTGAGGATGTAGACATCGAGACGGAAGGCTATCGAAATACAGACATAGACCATCGGCAAGTACACATGGTGAAAAGAGAATTCGAGCCCAAACTTTAAGTCCGACCGCACAATATAGCATGATTAATAACAAAAGCCACGAATGAATAGTGATACATACCCTATTGGAAAGTCTACCATAGTGTTTATCTTCGCCCTGGAATTGCCAAAGGCATCAGACTGGAACCGTTTAAAATGAATCAGTAATACTGGTGGTAATCTCCATATGGATAACCGTTTCTCCGCATCCCTGTGTTTCTTGCAATTCCCGCAGTACCTGAAATGTGAAGTGATAAGTGGCAAGCGGCTAGACGTGTAAGCATATGATTTAACAATTCAGTTAGAACAATCACGCCGTATAAATCGTCGTTTGAGAGTGTGCCTGCGTCCGATACTTCCTGTCGCATATGAGCTGATTATGCTCTTTTTAAGCGATATCGTTTTCTTCCAGGTCCTTGCTTTCGTATTATCGATCGATTTCCACATGGCAACGAGGCTCGAAAGAACATGGTACATTCATACACGGGAAGTAGGATGCCCAAGCACCTCACGTACAGATACACTCACATGACGTTGATGCTTTACCAAGAAAAAATGCCTACAGCGTAGGCAAAATCTTAGTTTAAGCTTGTAGAACAGATTGGCAACAACTCTCGATACTTGCCGTACCACCAAGCAAGCAGTAGAGATACGAACCAAAGTTTATCTTATGATGGTATGGTAATAAATATCATTCAGTGCAGCAGAGACAGATATATATGCATGTATTTATGAACACGATTTACATACATAATGATACAATGAAGTAGAATCTCGTACCATTGGTCGTTTCCTGCCACCCGCTCCCTCGCTGTGAAGGTGTCGATACACTTCTTCAGCGTGGCTTGTGACACGTTGGCAGGCACGGGCACAGACAGGTACATGAAGGGATTGAACGTCACCGACTTGTTCCCACAGGTTAAGCACTAAGCAACCGAAGGTACAAGTGAGACGGGCGGTGAAGTACGGTTAATTTCAAACAAAATAAGATATATACGTCGATTTGACTGTGTGCATTAAACACACAAGCGTGTCAGGACTGGCCAGACAGGGAGACCGGTCACATGAGTGACAATACCTGCTCTACTACGCTTTCTATCATATACATTACTTTATAAAAAGCTGTGCGCGATGCGGAATTTATTTTTATGAATCATATTCAGTACCAATCAAACATGGCTCACTTACGGTTTAACATGAAGCTCTTCATCCCTGAATACAACATAGATACTCTAGCCTTATTCAATGAATTCAACATAGACACTCTAGCCTTAATCGATGAATTCAACTTAGATACTCTAGCCTTAATCAATGAATACAACATAGATACTCTAGCCATAATCAATGAATTCAACATAGATAATCTACCCTTAATCGATGAATTTTAACATAGATACTCTAGCCTTAATCCCTGAATATAACATAGATACTCTAGCCTTAATCAATGAATTCAACATAGATAATCTACCCTTAATCGATGGATTTTAACATAGATACTCTAGCCTTAATCCCTGAATACAACATAGATACCCTAGCCTTCATCCCAATGGTTATGAACCCTATCATACGTCCACCACCAGACCATATATTTCAACTGTATCTTCTGTTAGTCAAATACTGCACAGCCCCAAACCTTACCTTGAGTTCTGATCGGAATTGGCCCTGGAACAAATCAACCACCACACTGTCATTGCGTCGTTTGTAGTTGGTCCAGGAAAGCGCGGCCGTTTGCGCATCGTTGCCGTCATAGTCCGGGTCTTCTTGGTAGGTGCGATCGCGAGAGCAGTTGAGGTCTTCGTGTAAGCCATCCATCAGGAACGATAGCAATTCCTGTGTAGATGCAAAGAGGAATGGGGATAGCAGGTTAGAATAGGGTGATAGAATAATGCAGTAGGTAAAAATATGATTATTACAATCCAATAGGGGTGGGGGTATAAGACAATGGAATAGTCCAATAGTAGGTGAAAATATGAATTTTGGGAATAGCAGGTAACAATAGGGTGATAGAATAACGCAGGTAACAATAGGGTGATAGAATAATGCAGGTAACAATAGGGGGTGGACATAAGACAATGGAATAGTCCAAAAGTAGGTGAAAATATGATTATAAGAATCCAATAGTAGTTGCGTATAAGATTATGGAATAGTCCAATAGTAGGTGAAAGTGAGATCATAATAATCCAATAGTGCTTGCGAACAAGACTAAAAAATAGCCTAATAATATGTGAGAATAAGATTACAATAATCCAATAGTGCTTGCGAACAAGAATATAAATAGTCCGAAAGTATGTGAAAATAAGATTATTACAATTATATAGTGCTTGAGAATAGGGTTAAGGAATAGTCCAATAGTAGTGACAATGAGATTGTAATATTGATAGTGGAGTGAAGGTATGCTGTGATTTATTGATATGGTACAAGTTTGATAGTGGAGTGAAAGTACGCTGTGATTTATTGATAAGGTATAAGTTTGATAGTGTAACTGCATTAGTCTGTCCCGCATTTGAGCTTCAACTGTTCGAAGCCAATATCCGGCAATTCTCATATTAATGCAAAAAACCCCCCAATTTTTACCTCTAACCCGGGTGATTCGTCTCAATAGCACTGTACCTTAGACACATCACAAAACAAATCTCAGGCACATCATTGCCCAATTCATTGCTACATACGCCGACTTATGACAAGCTGTGTTGGCGAGTTAGCTTTTTTCCTTTCTTAAATTTTTGGGTGCTACATAGAATTGCTTAGTTCGCGCCAATAACTCCTCACACAAGGGCGCACTACAGACGCCAAAGAACGGCAAATATTCTGTGTTCACAGACCAAGGTCACATACCTGCGCATCGTGCTGTTCGCGGCCTGAAAATCTCGGCGCAAACTGAGAAATAACATTCTTGAGGCGGTCCGGTTTAAAACTACTCGTACGATCACTTCCTTTCCAGATAATTTGTAATAAATCTCCAAATGTTTCGGCAAGCTGGGATCGATGAATCGACAACAATTTGAAAGTATCAAGATCTTAATCCCAAACCAATACACAGATCAGTATTTGTACTGAGAGACGCTAGCTAATACACGCGATATGTGTAAAGTGAATCTGATCGATCTCTATCTAAATACGTGAAATATATTT